CTGGCTAACCTGGTGAAACCCCGTCTCTACTAAAAAAATACAAAAAACTAGCCGGGCGAGGTGGCGGGCGCCTGTAGTCCCAGCTACTCGGGAGGCCGAGGCAGGAGAATGGCGTAAACCCGGGAGGCGGAGCTTGCAGTGAGCTGAGATCCGGCCACTGTACTCCAGCCTGGGCGACAGAGTGAAACTCCACCTCAAAACAAACAAAAAAATCAGCACTGATACCTTAAATTGGAAATGATAACCCAGTAGGCCAACAGATTTATAATCTAAGAAATAGTAAAGGCAAATACTGCTAAAACATTGTTTATTTGAAACTTGCAGCCAGGAGCGGTGGCTCACGCCTGTAATCCCAACCCTTTGGGAAGCCAAGGGCGGATCACCAGAGGTCAGGAGTTTGAGACCAGCCGGCCCAACATGGCAAAACCCTGTCTCTACTAAAAATACAAGAAAAAAAGAAATTCACAACTACTTGGGAGGCTGAGGCAGGAGAATCACTTGAACCTGGGAGGCGGAGGTTTCAATGAGCCAAGATCGTGCCACTGCACTCCAGTGTGGGCAACAAGAGTGAAACTCCGTCTAAAAAAAACAAAAAGAAAAGAAATTTGAGTTGACCTTGTAAACCTTTCAGAAACGTGTGTCTGTGTGCATATATAGACACTCACATATGTGTATTTCTTTCCCACTTTTCTTAGGCGTGGCAATTGCAAAAAAGCAAGCTTGGGGTTAGTTTGTGAAATAGGTCTTCGTTGCCGTACATACTATGTATTATGTGGTTCAGTGCTGAGTGTCTGGACAAAAGTTGAGGGTGTTCTAGCATCTGTCAGTGGCACAAACGTGAAGATGCAGATTGTGCGGCTAAGAACGGAAGATGGGCAACGGATTGTAGGTGAGTCTAATTTTTGTTTTGGTTTGAGTTGCAGGAAAAAATCAGATCTGACTTTTTTCTCATTGCTAATATCTTAGCTCTGTTCTACATGCATTTAACATCTCCTCCAGTAGTGGGTATGGGACCCGTTGTATATTTCTTACAAGGTTGAACAGAAGTTAAGCCTTCAAACAGACATTGTTGGTTCTGGTTGAAGTTATATGGTCATCTCTTTGATGCTGCTCTCAGCTGCTCTTGCTCTCCTTCTCTACTCTTGGTGGCTGTGCAGGCTCCCTGGTGTGAAGACAGTTCAGTCTCTTGCCCAGGAGTTCTCCATTGAGCTAGCTTAAGACTCTGGAACTCAAAAGCCACTGTGCACAGAGGATGGCTTGGTGTCCTGCAGGGAGCAAGGGCAGACTAGGCCAGCTGTTCCCACTGTGTGCTCAACTACAGGTATCCAGGAAGCAGGCCAGCAATTGAACTCTGTTTGCTTATCTTGGTTTCATTTACAGCAGCCTTCTTCTACCACGAGTTACATATCGGCAGTTCATGGGCCAAAATCAGTCCATGGATTTTTTTTTTTTTTTTTTTTTTTTT